ACGGCTTCAAAAGGGAATTAGATAAGCATATGGAGCAGAGGTCCATCAGTGGCTATTAGCCACAAGGTATAGCTAGGGGCTCTGGGGCAAGTGATGCTCTGTCTTCTTGGTGCTTGGGGGGGGGTCAACAGTGGGAGGGCTTCTAATGTCCTGGCTCCACTGCTGGACCTCCTGATGGCACTGGTATTTCTGGCCACTGTGTGACACAGAGTGTTGGACTGGATGGGCCTTTGGCCTGATCCAACATTGGCGTCTCTTATGTTCTTATGTTCTTATAGCTGACTAATTACCGCACTGAGCAAGGGGGTTGGAGTAGGTGACCTCTAGGATACCTTCTAACTCTGTGTCAAGAAACTGGCCTCCTTTCAGAGAGTTATTTTTTTTTTGCCTAAGTGTTAGCTTTCTTGACTATAGAAGTAATCACCCCTACCTCTCGGCTTGTTATCAGAATTGTTGCTTAGGCTGGCAGAAGTGATTAACTTGCAGCAGCTGAGAACTGTCATCTAAAGCAGTTGACAGCCCACAGTTTAGAGGTCTATCCTGGTAACAGTTTTCTATTGGCTCAATGGCTTTTCTTTCTAAATTGAGAACTTCAGCTCCACCAGGAAGAAATTTGCCCCACAAGTCACAAGAATCCTGGCTACGGGCCTGCAATAAAATGGAAATTAGAAAATGGGTAGAAGATGAGCAGTAAATTAGCATACAGCATAATGAAGATGCTTAACAGATAACAAGCTTAGTTTATATGGTTACCATTTGTTTGAAGGAAATAAATACGTCAGAACTGGAGACTGATGTGAAATGGTCTATACCTGTGGCATGGAAAAACTCTAAACTCCCATCAGTGTCCACTTGGTGCCATTGTTTGGTACCATAAATAATGGAGACAGAGCTGCTAGAGGGGTGAGTGGTTTTTTTAACTTGCTTTCAGCTGAGGGGATTCAGCTGAGGATATTGTGTGGGAGGACTGTGTTTGGGAGTGTGTGAAAGCAATTAGATTTGTTGCAGAGTCCTGGCTGCTTGAGAGAGGGAGAGGAAGGGGCATTGTTGGACTGTGATTGACTGTAATTCAGTATTTAAGAAAGCACCTTGCCAGAGGCACGAGCCAAAGGGCAAGCTAAAGGGTTCTTTGCCTGTGGCTCTTAGACTAGGGGCTCTGTAAGAAGCCCAAGAAAAGCCAGAAAGCCAAGGCCCTAGGCTCTGTCTTCCCCGTAAGGTACGTTGACTTAGACAAGAAAAACCTCATAAATACAAAGGGTTTTAAAAGGGGGATTATATTTACTTATTTTAAAAGCATTATGAAGCCACAATGCCAGCAGGGGGTTGGGGGCTATTCAGTGTTTTGCACGGAGTGTCACATGTATGACTATCTGCCCACTGGACAGAAGTCTTGGGTGTGTGCTCGGTGCAAGGAGCTCCTGGTTCTCAGGGAACGTGTGTGCTCCCTTGAGGCCAAGGTGGCCAAGGTGGCTGACCTGGAGAAGCAGAGACAGTCAGGCACACAGAAAAGACTCTCGGGGACTTGTTAGATATGTCCCACTCTGGATCTGGCAGCCCCGCCACTGTCAGGGAACATGAGGATCAGGAGAAACAGGGCACCGTGCTGAGGATAAGGGGAATGTGCCCTCAGAAGGGACCTCTCCCCAGCTGGTGAACGGGTATCCTTTCGCACCAAGGAAACATCCCTGGGCAAGGTGGGAGGGGGCTCTTGGTAGTTGGTGATTTGATCCTTAGGTAGGTAGACAGCTGGGTGGTGATTATTAGGAAGGGAATTGTAAACAGAGCCCCTATATAAATCAATGGTGCGACCTTATTTGGAATACTGTGTGCAGTTCTGGTCACCACACCTTAAAAAGGATATTATAAAGTTGGAAAAAGTGCAGAAAAGGGACTCGAATGATAAAAGGGCTGGAACACTTTCCCTATGAGGAAAGGTTAATGCGCTTAGGGCTCTTTAGCTTGGAGAAACGACGACTGAGGGTAGACATGATTGAGGTTTATAAGATTATGCATGGGATAGAGCAGGTAGAGAAAGAGGTACTTTTCTCCCTTTCTCACAATATGTGGGCACTCCATGAAATTGCTGAGCGGTTGGGTTAGAACGGATAAAAGGAAGTCCTTCACCCAAAGAGTGATTAACACATGGAATTCACTGCATATGGAGCAGAGGTCCATCAGTGGCTATTAGCCACAAGGTATAGATAGGGGCTCTGAGGCAAGTGATGCCCTGTTTTCTTGGTGCTTGGGGGGGGGGGGTCAACAGTGGGAGCTCTTCTAATGTCCTGGCCCCACTGGTGGACCTCCTGATGGCACTGGTATTTCTGGCCATTGTGTGACACAGAGTGTTGGACTGGATGTGCCTTTGACCTGATCCAACATTGGCATCTCTGATGTTCTTATGTTACTGTCCACAAGCAGTGATATGTCTGTCTTTATCCAAGTGTAATTGATTTTATGTCTACTAATGAATAATTTTAAATGGTTCATATCCTATAGAAATATTTATGCTATAAACTCATTTTTTTGTCACAAGAATATACTGGTTCTATACTTGTCAAGAATTTATACACTTTATTTGACGTGATTTTCAAATTTTAGTCTTTAGAAATAGATGCTCTAAACTCTTTTTTAATTACAAGAATGTTTATTTCCATACTTGTTTTATAAATGCAGACGTTTTCTTTCTTTGACTTGGCTTACAAATTTTCGTCTCTATCTTTGAATGATTCAGAAGTTTCGGTTTTAATGACGTTGCTTTTTCTGTTTACTATTTCTGTAAAATACATTCTTATGCAACTTTGTATTCTGATTTTCTCAAAATAAAATTTAAATCTGAAAAAAATTGGAGATTGATAGGCAGATGTATCCTTATGTGGAATGCTGAGAGTAATTGACTGAGACCCTGTTGTTAAGCTCCATCTGTCAAGCATGGTGATGATCATCTTCTTTTAAGTGGGACGATTGGTTGTATACAGACCCCTGTCCCGAGACCATAGAAATACTTTGCAATATACCATTCGAAATTACATTACATTCCACTATTCATTATGTTACATTACTATCTACTATTCTAATCTATTATTCCAAATAAGGGGGGGGGGAGAGAATGTATGGCCCTTCTGGGGGGATTGGTGAGAATACAGGTGTAAGGGCTGAATGATATTAACATATGTAGTGAGATAGGAAACCAATATCCCTGTTAAGTCCTGGGGATTCAATTGTTCTTAGTGTTATAATAACTTGCAACTCAGCCATTTCCCGTTCTAATTTGTTTGTGAAATTCTTTTGCAATAAAGCATCTACTTTGCGGTCACTGATTGAATGCCCTGGAAGGTTGAAGTGTTCTCCTACAGGTTTCTAAGTCTTGTGATTCTCAATGTCAGATTTGTGTCCACTAATCCTTTGGCACAGAGGTTGACCTCTCTGCCCTATGTAGCGAACCGAAGGGCATTGTTAAGTTAATGGCATAGATCCAGGTGGTCAGCTGTGTTGGTCTGAAGCAGTAGAACAAATTTAGAGTCCAGTATGTATGTTTACTTCCTGCAATTAGAAAAGATACCTTTACACATGTATCCGCTATTCTGACATATTTACAACTGTTGACCTTATAATCTTAGCTTGTGGCATTTTGTCTTTGCACATCATCAGTCATTCCAGCTCCCTCTAACAGGGGTGGGGTGCTGCCTTTGAAGGGGCTGTCCAGTTCTGCTTCCTCCTTCTCCAAAGGGGTTCCCTTCATCAGGGAAAAGTGCAAAAAGGGGCAGCAGAAAAGGTCAAGAGGCTGAGAACCTTCCCCATTGGGAAATGCCAAGAGGCTGGCTTTTTAAAAGATGACTAAGAGGGGATCTTTGACGGTGTCTGGTGGTGCCACAAATAGGAGCGGTGTCCAACCGTGCAGGCTGAAGGCAGGCGCAGAGGGCAGCCCTCTTGGTCTGTAGCAGTGGGAGAGCTGGGTTCGAATCCAGGAGCTTGCCAGAGAGAAGGCTGCCTTCCGCAGGAGACCTCCTCTGAGATGGTCGTTTCCGCACCGGGGACGGGAGCCCAGAGAGTCGGACACTCTGGCTGGCCTGCCGAAGGCGCACCTGGACTCGCGCCTGCCTGTTCCCCCCC